GTCTATCATAAGATGCAGCAATTCCACTCTTAGGCATATACCCAAAAGAAGCACATTCCTACAACAAGGACATCTGTTGAACTATGTTCATAGCAGCATTATTTGTAATAGCCAGAACCTGGAAACAACCTAGATGCCCCTCAACTGAAGAATGGATAGAAAAAATGTAGTACATTTACACAATGGAATATTACTCAGCGGGGGAAAAAAAGGCAATGGAATCTTGAAATTCGCAGGCAAATGGATGGAACTAGAAGAGACCATTCTGAGCTAGTCACAAAAAGACAGGCATTGTATGTACTCACTCATATGTGGATTTTAGACATAGAGTAAAGGATTGCCAGCCAGTAAAGGCTGCCGGAGAGGCTGGCAAACAAGGAGGACCCTAAGAGAGACATACATGGTCCCCTGGAGAAGGGGAAAGGGACAAGATCTCCTGAGCAAATTGGGAGCATGGGGGAGGGGAGAGGGAACTCGGAGAATGAGAAGGGGAGGAGAGAAGAGGTGAGGAAGACATGATGGGACAGGGAGGTTGAGTTGGGGGAAGAACGGAAGAGAGCAAGATAAAAGAATATAATAGAGCGAGACATTATAAGTTTAAAGAGAAATCAGGCACTAGGGAAATGTCTGGAGAGCTACAAAGAAGACACCAACTAACAATCTAAGCAACAGAGGAGAAGCTACCTCCTTTCCTGATAATGAGATTGATGACTAATTCTTATACCATCATATAGCCTTCATCCAGCAGCTGGTGGAAGTGGAAGCAGACACCCATAGCTAAGCCTTGAACTGAAATGAAATCCAGATGCAGAGAAGGAAGACTGATGAGCAAAGGCTGGTGAAACCCAGCTGACCTGAACAAGGGAAAACTCTTGGTCCCCAGACTGATAGCTGGGAAACCAGCATGGGACTGATCCAGGCCCTCTGAATGTGGGTGTCAGTGAGGAGACCTTGGAAATCTATGGGGCCTCTTGCAGTAGATCAGTACTTATTGCTACCATAGGAATGGACTTTAGGAGCCCATCCCACATGGAGGGATACTCCCTGAGCCAAGACACACGGGGATTGGCCTAGGCCCTATCCCAGAGAATATGACAGACTTTGAAGACCCCTTATAGAAGCCCTCATCCTCCCTGGGGAGCAGAAAGGGTATGGGATGGGTAGGGCGTGGGGGGTATGGGGGGAGCAAGGGAGGAGGGTAGGGAGAGGGACCTGGGATTGACATGTAAAATAATTTTCTTTCTAATAAAAAATGAGAAAAAATGGATGTATAAATAAAAAAGAATTATATGTCAAAAGTTAAAGAGATAAAAAGAATAAATTTAAAATGCTTGTTTTTAAATATAAAAAAGAGAGTTCACACAACAAAGAATTTTTTAAGGAATAAATGTTCAGTTTTATATTGATAGGTGTCTATCTTTCTTCTATCAGGTAAACTTGTGTTGATAGTGGAAACAAAGATGGTTGAGATGCAACCCTTGCTATCAAATTCCCTACACTGCAGTGAAGAAAATTAAAGAAAAATGTTTAAGGTCAGATGTTGTGGTGGTTTGAAAGAAAATGCCTCCCCCCATAGGCTCATAGGGAGTGACTCTATTAAGAGGTATGGTCTTGTTGGAGTAGCCTTATTGGAGGAAGTGGCCCTGAGGTTGGGCTTTGAGGTTTCAGAAGCTAGGTCAAGTGACTCACACTTTCTTCCTGCTGCCTTCAGATCCAAATGTAGACTTCTCAGCTACTTCTCAAGCACCATGTCTTCCTGCATGCTTCCTGGCTTCCTGTCATGACAATAATGGATAATGGACTAAAGCTATGAACCTGTAAGCCATCTCCAATGAAATGCTTTCCTTTATAAGAATAGCAAAGAAACCCTAACCAAGATGGGTATCAACGTGGAGATAAGATACAAGGCACAAATGAAGTATCTACGAGGAAGCCTCTGCAGGAAGGCCAGAGTGTGTCAGTCTGAACCCACACTTGAATGCTTATATTTGACAGGTAAATTGGGTAGCAGAAGAACAAAAGGAGTGACGAGAAGCATGTGAAAGTGTCAATTTGCACAACAGGTGATTTGGATTATGATACTGGGATATTAGGGAACACAGACTGAAAACTCACCTCTAAAGAGGTGTGGAAGATGTACTGGAGGACACAGAGAAAACTTGGTTAGGAGATCATTGCACTATGGTTAAGGATGACTAGTGATGATGATAAGACTGAAGAGGGCTGTGTAGATGGTGACACGGGCAAATGCCTAGAGGCAGGTGGATCGTACCTAGGACCGGTGGGATGGCAGAAGAAAGCCAGGTGACTAGATCTAGAAATTTCTAGGTTTGTGATCTAATGATGGAGCAGAATTACCAGTAACCTTGCTAGAAAATACTAGAAGAATTTCAGAAGAGCAATCACAGCTCATGAATTCTGTTCAGGACATACTGTGTTTGCTTCCTGAGGCACACCAGTTTGATAGATTACATATAAAGGTCTGAACTTAGGGAGATAGAAACAATACAGTTAGGGACAAAGATAATATGCAGTATTGACATATACAGACAAACAAAACAGGTGTTTGAGGCACCTGAAAAGATTCTAGCAATTGGGTATGGTCAACTAACCCATGTTGGCACTGACTCTCATCAGAAGGAAGGGAGATCACAGGGCAGCGGGAGAGAAGACAGAGGTCAGAGAACACCTATGATAGCTTGAAGCAAAGAGAAGAAAATGAAGAAGCAGAATGTGGAGGAACGGTCACAGTGATCAGAGAACTAAGCACATGTCACACCAGGTACACTGAGGCAGGGATAGCTTCAAACATAAGTTCCAGGGCAGCTGCTGGAGAGACATCGTGCACGCCCTTTTCCAGGCTTCGCTGTTCGAGATACTGGCGTTGATGGAGATCTGAGATTCAGGCAGGGATCTAGACCTAAGCAAGGTCTGGTTCTAGAAAGCCAGGGGGGTGAATTAAAACGGCCCCAGTAAGTTAGGATCCAAAGGCGAAGCACACAAGCATTCCTCCGGGAGGGAAATTCCCACTAGACATGGTGACCCCCAACCGCACCGAAGCTCAAGAGGCTGACACGAAGAGGTCCTGACACTCATGCTATTTCCTAGGATCTCAACAAACCTGGCTGGGCCACTCATCTTTTTAAACTCCAGGAGAGGCAGTTCCCTCCCCCCCCTCCCCTCCGTCTCCCTTCCTCTTCTCTCACCACCCCTCCCTCTTGCTTTCTTCTCCTCCCTCTCCCTCCTTCTCCTTGAGTCTATTCGTCTCAAATCTGTACTCCTTTCCCGTAATCTCTTCAGTCTTCTGTCGCTGAGTATTTAAAACACACACACATACATACACACATGCGCGCGCGCGCACTGCAGCAAGTATTTTCAAGATAGAACGGGACTATACTGCAGGTTCCATGACATTAAAAAGGAGCGGTGAGGAAAAGGAGTAGAGCCGAAGCGAATACAAAAAATACTTTACAAGAATAGACTGCGACTTGTCTGAACAAAGGGAGACGGATCCCGTGTAGTTCTCAACACTGAACCTAGGGCATGCTCATTGAATAACTTGAAAAGATTCGGTTATTTATTTTATTTTTTTGAAAGAGGCAAAACGCTTCTTTGAGCTAAGGTATGCTGTTATTCAAGACGCTATGGAAACTAATGTTAAAGTATGATTTTTATTTTCAGGCTTTTAGGAAAGGCTGGGTTTTTCTGAGCTTAGAAACTAGAGCCCACACATCCATCGGCCCACCAGACCCTCAGTGCCGGCTTTCTGCCCACGTGCCCACGCTATTGCTCTCTGTACGCCCATCTCCCTCAGGTCTCCTGAGGCCTGGTATCGTGATGCCCCTCAACCTTGGGCAGCCAGATGCCAAAGGCAGCCACGTGTGGCAGTCTGGCACCTTCAGGAGCATGCTCAGTCGGGTCCGAAGCCACTTCTGCAGGTCCGAGCCCAGAGCTTGAGGGTCACAGGCAACACTTTGCCTCTGGGTTTGCCAGTCACAGGGAAGGAGGTAGTCTGCCATCGCTTAAACAGCCTCCTGTCTTTTTGACAACTGTCCCTGACTCATGCTGAAACACACGGGGTCTGACAGCTGGAGCCACTTAGGAGTGTTAATTTGAGCAATCCACCTCTCCGTGTTTTCTTAGCAGCCTATGACCAACGAGGGGGCGCGACTAGAGTTCTTAAAAAAAAAAAAAAAGAAGAAAGAAACTGGTGTGGGGCGTGGCCCGAGGGGAACATCAAAGAAGAGCCCGGGAGGAGGAGCCTGGTTACTGCCCCAGAAATAACAAGCTTTCTAATAGAAATGGGGGGGGGTGGAGGGGGGGGTACACTAATACTGCAGGATTGTGCATAGAAAATAATACTTCAGGACTGTGCATAGAAAACTTATGTAGGTGCTAGAAATATTTTTAGACTACTTATTTTTCCCACCAAATAAACAACTGAACTCCGCGTTAGAGAGAACGTCAAAACTGCAAATAATTTTAAGGGGCAGTTTTATAAATCTCTCCCCCCGGAACCCCACTACTCAAGAGCCATCCACAAACAACTTGCTGTGTCTTATCCCTGTCGCTTCCAGGCGTCCGCTGTGCTTTAGGTGTGACACAGCAGCCTCCGGGAAGGCCCCAGATGCTTCGGCTCGGGAGGTGGTGTGACTAGGTAGGTTAATTGGTGGGTGAGCTGATTGCCGGTGGCCTCCCGGATGGCTCTGAAAGACGCCTATTCCTGCGTGTCCGTGGACGCCTCTGCGAAGCGATGCTCAGGAAAGTGGCCTTGGCTGCGCCTGCAGCGCCCTGCCCCCGACAATTACAAGTCACGTTGGCCCAACACCATAACGTCTGGTGGAAGGGCTCCGGTATGTCACCTCGGCTCGCACGAGCACCGCCCGGTGGCCTCCGGGTCCCGCCCAGAGGCGGAGCTGGCTGAGTGTGGTGCTCCCCTGCAGACTGCGGGGACCGCCCCGGGTGGGTGGCCCCCACCGCCCGCGGCGCCCCGCCCACACCGCAGCCGGCATCCAGAAGAAGCGCGGGCGGAGGAGGTTGGTACGCGCTGGGTGCTGCAGACCTATCCTGGTGGCCATGGCAAGCGGCGCACGGCGACCACCGGAGTGGCTCAGCGGTGTCAGGTCAGTGAGGGCACCCGGCGGGCGAGCCTGGGTGGCAGGGGACGGGAGGAGAGCACAACTTTCGGACGCCTGGCCTGGCCGAGGGTACACGCCTGGAGGTGCCTTGCGGTCCCAGCTCCTGGCCGGTGGCAGGATGCTGAAAATACGTGCAGGGCGGGGAATGGTGGGTTGGGGACTGTCTAGTTCCAGGCTGGTACCACAACCTTCTGAGGGTCAGGAGCGAGCTGTCTACAGCGCACTGGCCCAGAGCCTCTCGGATCTCCCGGGAGGAGAAGGACGCCACGCACAGACGGGGCCCTTCGCCGGGCTTTGGATCGTTCGTGCCACGGAGCCTCAGTTTCCCCAAGCAGGGAAGGGGGTGTATTTGCCTTTGCCCGGAAGGCGGCGCGGAGAGCCCTGAGGGCGCCGCGTCCTGAAGCTGCAGGAGTATGGGAAGCAGCGGGTGCTTAGAGCCGCCTCCTCCTTGTCACTGGAGCTCTTGGAGTTTGTCGCATTTGACACCATAGCAAGTTGACACGGATTTGCCTCGTGGCCTGGAATGGGGAAACAAACGTGCTTCCTTGGTTAAAACAGTAAATGTAGAGTCTATTATTCATTTTAAACCTGAGCGTTGAAAGTCTCCCTTTCTAAAATGGCCCGGGATTGAAAATTCCAAGGTTTCTAAAGCAAACTAGAAAAAAAAAAGGAAAGAAAATGTTTGCAGGTGCTTTTAAAAGCTGCTCACACTGTAGAAATATCATGGTTCAGTTGTGGTTGTTTTGAATGACACTTATTCAAAGTTTGGTTATTGCAGCAATCGTTATTTCTCTCTGGCTTTATATTAAAAACTGGGAAACAGCACTGCAGAAACGAAGTGGTTTTTAAGTTTTCTCACTTTTTTTTCTAGATGAAACACTTTTTTTAGCTGCTACTATACTCAACATAGTAAAATGTTCAGGATGAAATATGCAGGATATAAAAAAGAATGATTTTCAGGAGAGACTAAGTTAGAGCAAGGTGGTTTGCAGACATTGGACTAATATGCAAAATACAATCTGCACTCCCACTGCAACTTTACTGTTTTCCCCTACAGCCTTTAATAGACTCATATAGATCTATTAAAATATTTACAAGTTTCAGGAACCCAGCACATGAATGGTTACATTTCCTGGTTCTGTACAATGCATCACTTTTAAAATCTGCCATGCTTACTCCATATAGCTACACATTGTTTAGACAGAAATAAGTAGAATCTCTCCTTAGCCTTGCTTTCCTGGACCATAGGAAGAGGCAAAGCCTCTGTTTACCTCATATGACTCCATCTGGCTCTAAAGTTACTGAGTATTCTCAGTGCCAGGAATTACAATGAAATGTACCCAAAGGCTCATTCACCCAGTGCCCCGAACTTCACAAACTCTGTGTTCTCAAAACCTTACACTAACAAAACCAAAGGAGTTGGGTTGGAGAGTGTTATATTATTACCAATGAAGGAAAACAACCAAGGGAACTTGGTAGTCAAGTGACAAAACAGGTGATAATCTCTCCTTCCTGCCTCACCTTTGGGTCATTGACACTCAGCTTCAGAGCATACAGGTTTTAGGAGTGTTTCTGTGTTTGTATTTCTGTGCCCGATTATTTTGCTAGTGGCACTAGATATGCATAACAGACGATTTACTTTAAAAATAGATCTCCCCACACTCATGTAACTTTAATTTATTCAACCACCCCCCTTGGCTTACAATTAAAATGTTTAAGACTGTTAAGCCATACAGCTATTGCTTAATTTATACTTTCAATCTTTTTATTTTTTAAAGAAGTTCCAAACATTTAAATACCAGGTGACTAGTATTGTGACCAAATTGCTTTCAATCTCTAACCAACCCAGTTAGCTTTGTTGGGAAAGTGTGTTTGTATGAATTCAGAAAACATGTGGATAGTGCACTTGCCTAACCTAGAATCTATCCTAACACTTGGGGTAAAAGTTGTTTGTTCTAGCCAAACCCAGGGAAAGACTTACAATTTTGACAGTTTCCATGGCCAATCACATTATAGTTAAAATCAGCATTAAGGTGCAAATGGTTGGCTTTGAATTTGCTGTGGTACCTCCCTTGAATGGTTAAAAGAATAGGGCTTGGTCGTTTATGTGAGCCTAACTAATTAAAGGCTGTTAGAGTCATTCAACAGTCATGCTCCAACCAGAGACTCTGTAAATGTACTGGTCTTGCCCCTGCCTCCCCACCTGAAGTCTCTTCGTGCATTAAAATATCACATTAAATTTTCTTCCCCACAAACTTTTATGGTTAGGCTTCTGAAGCTGCAAGGATGAGTAAGACAGTATGACTCACCGTCTAGTTGGAGTGATGTGCCTGAAGACAAATCAATTAGAGTACAAAATAAGTGTCGCAGTCCATGTATGTGTGTGGGCCTGGGGAGGCAGAGAAAACTGACCTCCTTGGTCTGGAAGAGGGGGTGGTGACTTTGCATAGACCCTTGGGGAATACTGAGGATAGGTTCAGGGCCTTTTAAGCAGAGAAGTAGGTACCCTATACCCACCTGTTATGGTGGGCAGAAAAAATGCCTCCCCTGCCTGACCTCAATGTGACATTCTGCATGTGATGAAGAAAGAGCCTTGAGATAATTCTACATTGTCCACCTGGGCCCTGTGTCATCACAGGACTCCTAGAAGCTAAGGAAGAATGTGCTGGTGTTTTGGGAAAGACTCCATTGGTGACTGTTGGCTTTGAAAATGAAAGGGTCTCACAAGACAATGTGGGCAGCTGTGGTGGAAGCAAGGATACAGGTTCTTCCTTTACCAGAGCCCTGAATTTGGCTCATAAAGATACAAATGTGCTGGTTAGTTTTTATTACCACCTTACACAACCTAAGAATTGCCCAGGTCTGATTAGCTTGTGGGCATATCTATGGGGCATTGTCAATTTGTTGTTGTTGTTGTTGTTTTAAATTTTAATGTATTTTGTTATTAAGAAAACCTTGGAAATAAAAAAAAACAAACACCCAACTTAGCCATAAGTCCATAAAATATATTCTATACTCGAAATGTAAAATGTAATGGGAAGCCTCACAGCTTCTGCTCCAAATGCTGATTCTAACTGTATAGAAAGGATAAACATTGGTCTGGTTAGTTTGGACATGTTCTTGATTTCTAATTGATAGGAGGGCCAAGTCCATTGTGGAAGGCACCATTCCTCAGCAGGAGGGCCTAAGCTATATAAAAAGCTAACTGAGCACAAGTCAGAGAGTAAGCCAGCAAGCACAGTCCCCCCCCCCATAGTTTTTACTTCAAGCTTCAGATTGAGTTCCTGCCCTGTTTGATGACAGACTGGCCTGGAAGTCAGAGCCAAATAAACCCTTTCCACCCCATGGTGCTTTAACCCTTTCCTCCCCATGGTGCTTTCAGTTGGAATATTTTACAACAGGATGGAAACTAGAACATTTGGTGAATTTCCAGGCTGCAGAACAATAAGATGATGAGTGTTGTATAAAGTCACTAACACTGTGATAATATCTCTTATGGAAGCCATAGAAAACTCATACCTTCATACACAAAGGAAGACTTGGTGTGTTGAGGTAGCAGGCAGAGGCAGGGTAAGGGACATGAAGAAGACCCTTCATGGTGATGAATTAAACTACACACAAAGAAGTTTGCATTCTATCCCATTACAGGCAAACAGTGGGAAATGAGCTGAGGGTTTTAAAATAACAATGTGAAATGAACAGTTTGTTGACTGGTTTTAACTGCCAGCTTGACACAATCTAGAGTAAGCTGGGCAGAGTCTTAATGAAGAACCATCTAGATTATATTAGTCTCTGGGCATGTCTGTAAAGAATTGTCTAGATGATTAATTGATGTAGGAAGACACAGCCCAGTGTGGGTGGCACCATTCCCTAGGTAGGGGGTTCTGAACAGTATAAGAAAGGGGAAAACTAGCTGAGAGAAAGTGTTAATCTCCATTTGCTCTTGACTCTGGATGTGATGTGACTAACTGCTTGAGTCCCTGCCTTGACTTCCCTGAAATGATGGGTTGAAGTTTGAGATTGTAAGTTGGATAACCCCATTTCTCCTCTGTGCTACATGTTGTCTGGGTAGCTGTCACATTAACAGAAATGAAAGGAAAACAGAAATGTTATTTTCCTTCCCTTTCCTTGTTGTGATAAAACACCATGACCAAAAGTGACTTATAGAAGAAAAAGTTTATTTTGGCTTATGGTTCCAGCATGAGAGTCCATAATGACAGAGGAGGGGTGGCAAAGGGAGCTGAACAAGAAGGTCACTGGTTACATCTTTACCCACACACAGGAAACAAAGAGTGAACTGTGAACAGGGCAGGGCTACAAATTCTCAAAGCCTTTCCCACTGGTGTACATCTTCCAGCAAGGCTCTACCTTCCCAGACAGCACACCAAGCTTGAGACCAAGTGTGCAAGAACCAGAGCCCATGGCTAAAACCACCACAGAAGCCAAACCAAATTTCACAGGTCAGTTTGATAAAGGGAATCTACCCAGAGGTTGCTAGTGGAGATCTCTGAAAATAACATCATTCCTATGTATTTGTGCCATCAGTATTTAAGAAAACTTTTATTCACAATTCATCATAGAAATGAAAACAGATAGACCAAGTCAGTCCTATGTTAATGATAGCTTGGAGATGGCTCCCGTGTTAATTACACCTCTCAAACATCTGACAAAAACAACCCAGTGAAAAAGTATTTATTTATTTATTAATTTAAATTAGAAACAAGCTTCTTTTGCATGTCAATCTCAGTTCCCTCCCCCTCCTCTCCACCCTTGCCCCCCACCAACCCCCTATCCCAACACGTTTCTACTCTCTAGGGGGGCCTTCCATGGGGGATCTTTAAAGTCTATCATATCATTTGGAGCAGGGCCTAGGCCCTCCCCTGTGTGTCTAGGCTGAGAGAGTATCCCTCTATGTGGAGAGGGCTCCCAAAGTTCATATGTGTTCTAGGGATTAATATTGATCTACTGCCAGTGGCCCCATAGAT